TGACTCTTCCCCAGACAAGGTGATCCGCGAGCGAAAAGAGTCCCTTAAAGATGAACAGGAGTTTGAAAAGATCCAGAAGAAGAGACATTTGGACTTCCTGGACATTCTGCTGTGTGCCAGAGTAAGTGGCGAGGAGTGACACTGGTCGCCTTTGTTGGGGAATACAATACGCAGAGGGATTTCATAGTCTTGCTGGGAGGGATAAAGAGATTTATAAGGAAAGGCAGAGAGCTTCTGAATTCAGTCTAAACAGAGACTGATTTTATTTATATATCCCAGGGGCATCACCACCCCCCTTTGCAATAGCTGAGGGAATATGATGTCCCCTCTTGGCATATTATATTTTTTATGTATATCTGACCCATGATAATAAATAAATAAATACGTAAATAAATAAATAAATAAATATGTATATATATAACCCATACATATATACATATATATGGGTTACTGAAAGTGTCTCTGGGCTGTTAGGATGAGAATGGAGCTGGACTGTCCGATGAGGACCTGCGTGCTGAGGTGGACACATTCATGTTTGAGGGCCATGACACAACAGCCAGCGGGATCTCCTGGCTCTTGTACTGCCTGGCATCACACCCCGAGCACCAGGCACGGTGCCGGGAGGAGATCCAGGAGATCCTGGGGGACCGGAAGACACTTCAGTGGTAAGGTTGCATGTTTCCTCAGCTTTTTTTCCCGTCAACAGTGTTTCTAAATGAGCAATGTCTTCAAGGCTCAAAAGCTGGGGGGCCAAAAGACTGATTTGTTAGGTTGCTGCATGCATGGGGGCTTCATAGGATGGAGCAAACACTGCATCCTTCAGCTAAATCTGCCTCCCTGCTCTTCAGGGCTCCTGTTGTCAGGACAGACACAAGAAAAAGCCGTCCCAGACCAGGAGGACATGCTGGATGCCATGCCAAGACCTAGGCCACCAACATTGCTGTTTCTTTTCTTGTGTTTTCTCATCACAGAACGTTGTAGTTGCGCCTTTTCACCTTTAGCTGTCGCTTTGCACTTGAGCTTGTTCAGAGCTTGTTAAGGCTTTTCAGAGGTGTCCTGGGGTTCCCAGATTGCGGGTTCCTCTGTACACCCCATCTGTGGCAAGAGGCTCTGCCCAGGGGGCTGATGGCTGTGGGCCGAGGGGCTTCATGGCACACAGCAGCGGGGGGAGCATGTGGCTCAGCCCCTGCCTCTGTCCCGGCAGGGAGGACCTCAGCAAGATGACCTACAGCACCATGTGCATCAAGGAGAGCCTTCGCCTTTACCCACCAGTGCCTGGTGTGTCCCGGCAGCTCAGCAAACCCATCACCTTCCCCGATGGACGCACTTTGCCAGAAGGTCTGTAAATCCCATTGCTGCTTAACAAAATCACACTCTCTGACATCAGCCCTGTCCTCGCTACCTGCCGCAGAGCAAAGGCGACAGCCCTACTGCTGTCACCTGCCCCGCGCTGGCACAGACGTACAGGGAGGACCATGCAGATGCTCATGGTTCATCCATTTTGGCAAACTGCAGGCACAGGGAGATGGGGACTGGTCCTGTCCCAACTTGTGGTGTGGGAATTCATAGAATCATAGAATGGCATAGGCTGGAAGGGACCTTAGAGATCATCTAATCGAACCTCCCTGAATTGCCCTGTGCTGCTGCTTTCCTTCTCTGATTTGGCACACAAGCGAGCAGTGTTGGTGGGGGACGATGTGCCAATGGTACCAATGCTTTCCTCGTTTCCACCTTTCGCCTTCTTACAACTGAACAAATGGAAAATGTTTTGTTTTCTCTGAAGCTAATGACAAAACTCTCATAGGCTTCCAGTTGACAGATAAGACCATGATGATTTAGATGGACCTTTGTGTGACCCAGCTGCAAACTCCCCTTTGGTTTCTCTGTCACTGAGCCCTTTTCTCCTCCTCGGTTGCTCTACAGGTGGCATCGCTGCAGTAAGCATTTATCTCATTCACAGAAACCCTGCGGTATGGAAGGACCCTTCGGTGAGCTTTCTTTTGCCTTTCTAATAATTTTTCCTCTTTCTGCTGAGCCTCTTCCAATGTCCCCTTCACTTGTTAGCAGGAGAGCAGAGCCCCTCCTTGCTCCCGAATGTCTTTGCCCACAGGAATCATGCCGAGAAGCAACAGCAATGCGCTAGTCTCGGCAGGCTGCAGCACAGGGTGCTCAGACAGCAGCATTAGGGCTGGGTGCTGCCCAAACAGTAAGACGAGGTGCTCCAAAAAGCTTGTTGTATTAACAGGCCAAAAGCTGATTTTTTCCTCAGCCTACAGGTGGAGAATTGAATCCTGGCTCCCTGGTTTTCATCATATCTGTGGCTAGTTTATTTTGGCAACGGCGTTGCCAGGCTCAGTGGAAAGCAAGGGAGTCTGCTCTGTGAGCTTCAGTCCATCTCCAAATGAATTCTCTTCCAATGGGGTTGTTCAGAAACTAGGGGGTATAATGTTTCTGCAGATACGGGCCAGTACTGTGTTTCTTAAATAATGGCTTTTTCTTGCTCCGTATTCTTCATTTTCAGGTGTTTGACCCTTCGCGGTTTTCCCCGGAGAACGTCTCTGGCAGGCACTCTCACGCCTTCCTGCCTTTTTCTGCTGGAATGAGGTAAAGTGTATTGAAGGCTGAAGGAGACTCACCTTCAGGTTCAGAAGGTCAGCAGGTTGCAGACCCTTCTGCTTGGACACCCATTGCCTCAGCTCTGCGGGCCTCTCCTTTGGCTTCCCAATCTCCCCTCCCTCTCCATGTTCATTGAACGCACATCCAGGAGCTCCCGATGCTCCCCCAGATCCCCTCTGTTCAGCCCATGCCCCTATTTTGCTACCCAAAACACAGCCTGGAGCCCCCAGAGCTGCAGAGGGGAAGGGTCGTGTGCTGGTGTGAGAGGGCTGGGGTCTGGCCAGGGGATTTGGTGTGCCCAGCACTGAGAGGGAGTGGCTGAGTTGCTCTGTTTTACCCCAGGAACTGCATCGGACAGCAGTTTGCCATGAACGAGATGAAGGTGGCCCTGGCCCTGACCCTGCTTCGCTTTGAGCTCTCGCCCGACCCTGCCAATCCTCCCTACAAAATAACTCAGCTCATTCTTCGCTCCAAGAACGGGATTCACCTCTATCTAAAGAAAATCCGCTGATGCTGGCAAGTGTCCTGCCTTTGCCGGAGGGCAGGACTAAGCAGATGATGGGACAATGTTTGTCTGGGGCAAAAGGTGCAGGGCAGGATTTGGGGATGAAGATTCCTGATTTCTGTGCTTTTTCCACCAGCTGAAAACCCTTTTTGGCCTGGGCCCGAGTGGCCAGATGGCATCGCACAGACCCATTGCCATCTGCTCTGCGAGCACCGACTTCAGAGCAGCTGGGCATGGCCATGCCTCTTCGCTGGCTGTCCGCTTATCCTGCTGTAAGGGCTGGCCTGGCCTGGGAATGTCCACAGGTCCCAGCATCTTCCCTCCTTACCAAATCCTGCCTTTGCACTCCTGTCCTGGACAAATCCGTGACTGTTCCTAGCCCTGCTCCATTGTCAGCACCTTCCTCAGTGCCTAGAGGTCAACCCTCCTCTCCTGCAGCAGGGACAGCCCATGGCAGACCTCACACTCAACGTGTCTCCGATCTGTAGATTCCAACTAATTCCAGTTTGGGCTCTGAAATTCTGCCTAAACTGCAAAATATTCTGTAATTTTTGTGTTGATAAACCAATAATTATTCCTGCAACAGCAACTGGGTCAGTTTTTATTGCTGATGCTTGCCTGCTTCGTCACAAATACCATGTAAAACCTCTTTGGAAATGGGAGGTGGAGAGGAAACCCATGAGCAGCAAGAGACAACCCTGGGGGTGTCCGGCTGGGCGCCTGCCCGATGGTCTCCAGCTGCAGCCAACGCAGCGTCTTCTTCCATGGGCAACCCCTTAGCAGGGGTCCAATGTGCAATCGTCATTTAAAGCTGCAAGGGAAGAGGTTCTGGTAGTTAGAAAGGCTTTTATTTCTCTTTTTTTTTTTTTTTTGATATTTCCCTAAGCTAATAAAGTTCCAAAAGTTGTATGCTTGAGGTACACTGGAGGACACTAGCGAGCTGTCCTCTGCTCTGCAGGAGTCAATATTGGGATAGAAAGCATCAAATTGGGAAATCCCAAATGCTGCTGCGGCAGTTGGCATCGTGGTGACATCAGCTGCGGTTCTGACACCGTGAATGCAGGCTGCTGTGCAGTAAGGCAGTGGCTGACCTCGTACAGCTCTCATCTGTAGAGATAAGGCAGATACAAGCAGGAGTGGGAACAGAAGGGCCTTTTGGGGGGATACACTGTGCTACACTATCAACACCATGAACCCAATCACTGTGGTGGCCCTGTTAACAGAAGGTTAGATCAAACATAAGGTTTTGTCCAATTTCAATTTTAAGTACACAAAGGGTGCCCATAATAAGAAATAGATATAATACAAATAACTTGTGCCACCTCTCCCTCTTCGCATATTACCAACCTACTGTAAATGTCACACCAAAGGTGTCCTCGGAACAGGTGTAACTGAGAAACTGCAAAAAAAACAGTGTATATTGTGTATATGTGCAAAAATGTGTATATTGTGCAAATGAGGTTGCCCCTGCACCTCCTCTTCCACACCACCCATATGTCCTCTAACCACAGCCGTACCCACAGCTGCCACCAAGCCCCCTACAACCTCCTCCTGTGTCCTCTCCTTCCACCTCCATGCCAGCACATCCAACCACCATCAATAAAACCCGCTGTCATGTGGCACTCGCTTAGTCAAGCAGCCTTAAGAAGACACATTCATCAGCCAGCTTCACCTCCTACCTCCATACCTCATGGGGCTCCAGGCACCCAAGCCACAAATTAGTTCCTCCTATGAGCAAAACCTCCAGGTTGCCCGGTGTCCTGGTTTCAGTTGGGACAGAGTTAGTTCTTTTTAGCAGTTAGAAAAGCTCTGTGTTTTGGTTTTGGTCTGGGATTCACTATGAGAAGAATGTTGATAGCACACTGATGTTTATAGTTGGCACTGAGACCTCAAGGACTTTTCAGCTTCCCATGTTTTTTGCCAATGTGCAGGAACACAACACACTCGGGGGGAGCATAGCCAGGTCAAAGGGCCCACAACTCCTCTTATGACTTGAACTGAGATTTAGGATTGAGGGCCAAATTGGTCATTGAAGTGTTCCGTATCATGCAGCGTCATTCCCAGTGTAAAGATGAAGGTTGACTGTAAAGAAGGCCTTTTGCTTTTCTGGAGGCTTTCACGCTCAGATTCTCAGAGTACTATCTCCCTCTTGCTCTCTTTTCAGGATTGTGGTGTCTGGACCTACCTGTTTGAGGATCATTTGCTGGGATGAGACAGGCGTTGGTCACCGGGTGCTGAGCAATTACACTGTGCATCACTTGCTTGTATACACTGTCATCACTATACATAAATAATTATTTAATTACATTGTTATTGTTATTATTAAATTGTTCTTATCTCAACCCACATGTCTCCTTCCCTTTTCTCCTTTAATCCTCTTCCCCATTCCTTGGGGGTAGGGGAGAGTGAGCAAGCGACTGTGTTGTGCTCAGTTGCCAGCCGGGCTAAACCACGACACCCTGAAGCAACTGCTATGATTCAGTGACATCCCATTTCAGAAGAAATAGTAAAAGAAAGAAAACACCTACGTGCGTGGGTAACACAAAAGACACAACTGCATGATCCAGCTTCACCCTGAATTCAGTTACAGCTTTTTTAAGCCTCAGTACACAAAAAATATTAGGAGATCCCCATCCTGCCATGGATTTGCATCCGTAGCTTTCGAGGAGAAAAACTTGGGTCACTCCTTGTCCTGGAATAAATTCAAGGAAAGCAATGACTTCTTTTCTCCTGCTCAGGCTCTGGTCCAGGAGGAAGGTAGTAAATGCTCCTGGCACAAAGCTGCTCGGTCACAGCCTTTAGTGGTACAGCAAGTGATAAGCTGACAAAAGCCAGTTTCTTCAGTTGTGTGTCAGTCATATTTAAAGATAACTGGGTAAAAGCTCATTGGGTTAAAGCTGCAAACTCACCTCAGTTACTAAATCAGGGCTGCTCCGGCTGTACCAGCCGAGAGGCTGCACACCTGGAGCAATGCCGATGCTCCCGTGCAAACCCGCAGCTGTCCTTGCACGTTGAACAGCCCCAGCACGGTGGAGCTCAGCCCAGCAGAGCCCCGCGGAGACTCGTCACGGCTGGAGCAGGAAGGCTGCGCGTGAAGCATGAAGGGAAGTGGCTGCGCATGAAGGCACTAGAAGGAACAGATAAAGCAAAGCTTGCAAAAATGGCCCGTATTAATGACCAAGGACACGAGTGACAGTAGTAAAACTGATGAATGCCAAGAGAAGCGTTGTTTACGACAAGGCAGGTGGCTGCCGTGCCAAGGAGGCCACAGTTCAGGTGACTCAGCCTTGGAACACATGTGGTGTGATGGCAGGAGGACGGAGCACAACAATCACCTCATACCTGCCATTCCTCTCCCTGCCTTTAATGGATCGTAGCCCTTTCACTCACCCTTGCAGGTGAGATCTGACCTATAGTCACCCGGTGAGCTGAGACAGTACAGAACCTCCAGGTACTGATTCAGCCCCTTTCCTCTCTCCTCCTCCACTGGGAACTGAAGCAGTTTGTGATCAGATCACCACGGCTAGAGACTGAATGAACCAAACTGGCCACAAAAGAAGCTGTAGGTTTTGACCCACCAGAAACTCCTCTACTCCCTATGCCCGTGGAAAATGATAGAATCACAGAATGGTTTGGGTTGGAAGGGACCTTAAAGATCATCTAGTTCCAACCCCCCTGCCACAGGCAGGGACACCTTCCCCTAGATCAGGTTGCTCAAAGCCTCATCCAACCTGACCTTGAACACTTCCAAGAATGTGGCATCCATAGCTTCTCTGGGCAACCTGTTCCAGTGTTTCACCACTCTCATTGTAAAGAATGTACCCACCAGAACTATTTTGCAGGGCCATGGAATCGTAATGACATCAGAAACTTGCTGAGTCCAACATTATAATCTGAATGATGACGCTACACCCTTCCTTTATCACGAATTCCACAAAATGAACAAATCTGAACTTATAATGAGAAATACATATATTTTCCAAATACTTTTAACCTCACACACAAAGGCAATCCTTGCCTAATGGAAGCTCAATCAGTGCTCAGTCTTAGCAGTTGCTTACATTTATATACATGAGGATCAGGACTCTATAAAGTAAAATGAAAATAAGATTTCTCAGCAAATGTGCTTTTCCAAGTGCCTTTCTCTATTTCCTGCCCTTCAGCAATGTTGAATTTCCACCTATGCCAGGAAAACTGAATCCCGGTTCAACTTATTTTTGCTTCCGAGTTAGTCCAACTTATTTCAGTGTAAATCAGCTCCTCTCAAAGAAGCAGGAGCATTGGCACAACGGTACGGTACCCACTTTGCCAGGGATGCTCACAGCGGCTGCAACCGCCGCACCAGGGCAACGGGAGAACGGCCACACACTCCAGCTGCCTGTCCTCTCCTTGGATGTGAGGTGCAGCTGTGGAGTTGAAATCAGAGATATCCCTGCGATGGAGAGAGGCAGAGTACACTTATTAAAATGTAAAGTGTTATAAAACTATAAGAAACAGCGAGCACTTTGGAGGGAGGTATTAGGATTTGAAATTCTCATGTTAAATTCAAAAAATTACGAAGTGTATGGGGCGAGAGTCCATAAATACAGGCACAAAGCACACAAGCAGGCACAGCCATTGCACAAAATCAAGAGGGGAAATGACTGATGGGCAGTAATCTCTCCAAAAGGTATTTTGTAGATACAGAGGCTCGTAAAGGTAATGGGAGTCAATAATATCCTGCTGTTGTAACTCAAGCAAGCATCATACTTGGATACATAAATACAAATATTTCTCCAAAATTTTTCATTTAGATCTCCTTTCACTAGATGAGATGAGACAGTGTCCTTCAACTCTGTTTGGAGAGTTAAGTATAAAGGCAACTACATTTACTCCAAATTGTACCTTGCTTACATATTCTGAAGTGTAAAATGAGAAAAATATTAATCAAAATAGCTGAAGTCACTAGAAGCAAATGACCTACATCATTATATTGGATTCAATCTCCTTTTAAGATAAGATTTGAA